TCCACACCAAAATCTCTCCTCCATGTCTTTATGGACCTTGCGTTGTGCACTGGTGTGCAGTCATGTTGTAACAGGAAGACTCCATCCCCAAACTGTTCCCATAAAGTTGGGAGAAAACATCTTCACTGCTCTCCAATGTAAGGCTTGGATATATAGAAGCCGTAAATCATCATGGCATAGAAACCCATTCAGTCAAGCTCTCTATCCACTGTTCTTGAGTTAATCTCAAGGCGACATGAAGTTTGGAGGTCTATAACACTGTGCCGACCCCACTCTGCACTCTTATAGTGTGTCATCCAGAGCTTCATATTTTTGTGTGTCACTCTTTTGAATACTAGAGGGCACCACTGCTCACGTTTTCAAGGCCTTCCACCCTGAGAGTGCATCACTCACTGGAATCACACAAAGAGCAGCTTCTGCACCTTTTAAACAGCCTCTGTTAAATGCAGGGATTTAAAAAAAAAATTTTTTTCTTCTACTTGGCCCTCTTTGATTCAGCTGCTTCTCTCTGCTGAGGTGCAGAGTGTATTTAACACTCGTCCGATGCTTGTTAACGTCCACACAGCCACAGATTAATCTCCCCCTTTGCGCTAAATTGTGTTTATTGGCCCCACTTAGTGGAATGGAGATTTGTGTTTGTGCTCTAAAGTGGATTGGAGGGAAGCAGTTTGTGTCAGCTTGACTGCCAAGTCATCAGATTCAGGATCATTATTGGCTCTACCCACTTTCCAGGCCTGACGGTGTAGACAGTGCAATCTGTTAATAGAGTCTCGTCTTAATTTAAGGCCCACAGCTGGGCTTTGATTCGCTGGTTGCAGCTAATGGAATTTAAGGAGGTTGGACACACTGATGGAGGGTTGCTTTCATTTAGTTTAACTATGTGTACAGTATCTGAGGCTAATTGACCCTCTGGAGCTTTTCTGATCTCGCCGTCCTCTCTTGTCCTGCGATCTGTGCCTCCCACACCAGAACTGATCATTTCCTTCTCATTTCCAGACAACAGTAAACAAAAGTAGATGAGTTGAGGTCCCTCGTCAGCTTGAGTATTTCCGCTGCCAGAGTTGTACTGTGACTGCGTCATTAGAGCAAGGCAGAGGAGGGCCTTATTATTTTTAATAATCTCCTGTTTTTTGCTGCTTCTTATCCCCCAGAGGTCTGCAGTCGGCACTTCCCCTCTGTGATCGTCAGCCCTGACTCCCTCACCCTCCTCCTCCTCCTCCTCCGTATTCATGCTTAATGATGCTCAGTCATACAGGCGCGTCCTCACACTGCAGGACTCTCACTGATGACAGGCACAAAGTTTAAATTGCAGCAGCAACACGCACACACAAACACACAAAACTGAGGTTTAACCTCCCCTAATGTGAGTAACATTGCTGCGTTCATGATGGCTCCAACAAGCCAACGGTTGTCTTTTCATCGCTTTGCCAAAAGTTATTGCACATTTCTCTCTATAGTCTGCAGGACTCATCGAGTGGGAGCTGCTCTATTGTGTCTCAAACAATGCACCGCTGCATTGTCAGGCGTATAATTGAAAACGGTTACTTGGAAACACTGTTATGGCTCTTACAAGTCAATCATCCATTACTGGTGACGCTTATCATCGCAGCCACAACTGGACTGTCAAAAGCCTTCAAAGCGGTCGGGAAAGAAACTGGAAAAGTAGCTCACGAGGCAGCGTTTAGCACACATGAAGTCACAGCTTAGGGGTGTTCCCACCTGAGAGCTGCTCCTTGATAAATTAAATCATCATTTAAACACTGCATTTTGTATTTACACAGATTATCTTTTATATTAACATGTCCTTGATGATTTGGAACATTTAGGTGCAACAACTATGCAAAACAAAGAAGAAGAAGAAAGACCCCAAAACTAAGAAATCAGGAAGGGGGGAAACTGATTTTCACAGCAGTGTATTTAAAATGATACACTGAGGAGGAAAACTGTTTTTCCCAGGAAAAAAAAAGAATCTGTAGATACATGAGCTGCAAATTCCAAAGACCGAGCTACCAGACAAACAGCCACTCGAAGACAGAGGTGTAAAACAGGTTTGCTGTTCATTCTGATAAAGTCCTCTGTGTGATATAACACTTTTATCACGTTTACACTGTTGGCAGTCTTTCTATCAACTGCAGGTTCACTTAACAAGACTGTGCTTCCTGCTCAACAACGATAAGTGAAAGCAGGCTGCAAACTGTCTGAAATAAATGTCTTGCATGCTCAATCATCCATGTTCATCTGGACGTAGCGTTTTGTGGGAGAAACGTTTTGTCACTCGTCCAAATGTCTTCTTCAGTCTCAGCTGACTGCAGGTTTCCCCAATCTTATAAACAGTACATCTGCACAATAGCTGAAACTAGCCGACTGAAAGAACAATGGGCTGTGAGGTCAGTTCCTTGATCATGGGATAGTTTCAGTTATTGTGCAGATGTACTGTTTATAAGATTGGGGAAACCTGCAGTCAGCTGAGACTGAAGAAGACATTTGGACGAGTGACGAAACGTTTCTCCCACAAAACGCTACGTCCAGATGAACAACCTTCTGGGATGTCTGAAATAAAAAATGCTGCAAAAACATACATGCATAGTCATTTAAAAAGAACAGTACAGAGACATGTCAGCAAAGTGAGGTTAATTTAATAAAACACCACATCCATGCTGTCCTCGGGCTGGCTGTTCTCAAGGTTAAAGACTCAGAGAGGTTAGGCATACCTAACCCAGTAGGGACCACCAGCAGAGGTGAATATAATTTGGAGTTTCACCCCCTCAAAAAAGTTAATGCCTAGGTGCAGTGAAATTCTAATATCAGACTGGAAGCAGGATGGTTTTATTATGAAAAAGACATTAACGTGTGATAGTCCAGCACAATATTTCATAGACTTTAAAGGTTCCCTGTAATTTCCTAGATAATAATTATGTGGCTGTAAATTTACAGCAATATTCTGTTAAGGGGCTTAATTTGTTTCTAATTACTGCAAAGGAAGAAAAAGAATCTGTGTTCAAAGGAATTTTTTCAACAAATTAACTTTAATTAAGCAGTAACCTCTGTAAGTTGGAGCACAGAAGGTCAGCAGATATATCGTAAATAAAAATGTATGATTAAAGGAATCCATTCATTGTTGATTTCTAAGGGAACATCTACACAGACATACATTCAGTAACCATCGCTCCTGTGCAGTTGCCCCCTGTGTTACCAAATGCAAGTTTATTATGTTATAAATGCTGATTGGTCATTAGAGAAACTCTTTTCCAATTATGGTAGCAGAGCTGAAAATGGTGCTTGATCTAATAGTACTGGCTGAACTAATAAGAGTTGAGGGTCCGCGGTTGCTTTGTTGAGCAGAGGTGAGGCCGTGCTGCCAAGAACCCCAACCTTTCTTTTACTTTATATTGTTTAGTTTCAGTTTGGTTTTTCCTAGTTTCAGTGTTAGTTTTAGTTGTTTTTTGTTGCTCATGAACACAACCGATCATGGTCATGTTCTCAAGTTTAAGCTGAGCATCAGAAACTGTTGTGATTTGCCACACCACCATCTGTTTTACGCAGAATGTCTTGTTGTTGGCAGAGGTCAGAGGAGAATGACCATACTGCTTCCAGCTGACAGGAAGGGAACAGCAACTCAAATAACCACTCGTTTCAACCAAGTTATGCAGAAGAGCATCTCAACAGCAGCAGAAGACCACGCCGGGTGCAGCTCCTGTCAGATAAGATCAGGAAACTGAGGCTACAATTCACAGGGGCTCGTCAAAATTGGACAAAAGAAGATTAGAAAAACGTTGCATGGGCTGGTGAGTCTTGATTTCTGCTGCAACATTCACACGGTAGGGTCAAAATTAGGTGTGAACAACATGAAAACATGGATCAGCCTGCTTTCTATCAATTCAGTCTGCTGGTGGTGTAATAGTGTGGGGGATATGTTTTTAGAAAAAGTAAAAAGTGGCCAATGAAAGCATTTGTAATGTGCGTGACATTTGTTAGGGGCAGATTTGATAGGTTCAGACTAGCAATTACAATGCAAACACTTGACGACATGCGGACATGCTGGTCTCGATAAATGTCCAGACTGTCTCGGTGCTTGTTGGACAAATTTGACCACACTGACCAAGATTAAAGCCGAGGACATTTCCCTATCCATAAATTATAAATTTAGTTTGTTTTATAAGCACACAATATTGTTTCTGTTTGTTTTTATTGTTATTTCACTTAAATACAATTTCTAATATTTTTAGCTTCTAGTGTCGTTTTAATGAATTATTATTGCTTTGGTCAGAAGTCTTGCAATTTCGTGACAATTTCCCCGCCTTAAATTGTCTTAATTACATAGACCAAGAAGTTTCCAAAAAGTAACAGAGTTATTATTAAATGTTTAATATTTTGCGCTCCATTATCTGTTAAACTTCTTAGTTTTCAAACACAAAGTGAACGAGCTCTTGAAATCACGACGTCTTGCTGCTTAACGGCAGTTTTTCTGCAACATTTCTGCAACATTTATTTACATCACATATCAGCAGAATACAGTGTTACTCTTCACAGAAGATCAATAAAAAGACAAAAGTTTATCAGATGGCCCGTCTCTGACACAGCTTTTTCAAATCTAGAAATAATAAACTCAAGTATGCCTTTCCTCTTGACGTTCTTGAACTGCAGTTTCTTGTCCTGCGCTCTCCTCGGGACCGTTAAAACCTTCACGTGTGGCATTAAAATACAGCGCCGGAGTGTCTGCATCGCCGTCCACAGCACATTCACCACAGAATAAATACGATACAGTACAGATAGCCAACGCAAGCAGCAAAACAAATATCCGTGATAAGAATAAATAGGCAAACAGATCATTTAGAGGCAAATATAAATGCAGAAATTTTCTAAAATGCTCATCTGAACACTGAAATATGAGAATCAAATCAGGTTTCAGTTATGAAATTTGTTTTACAGCATGCAGAGGGAACCGTGATTTTGGGGCCATGAAGGATACTTAAAGGGAAATATGACAGAGATCACCTGAAGCAAGTCTCGAGTGAGAATTTTATTTGTACTTATATTTTTTTCTTATTATTCTGCACTATGTAATATGAAGGTTATGAGACAATTTAATAGATCATTCTACACAGGAATATTAATGCCTACTAATAGTGCTTTATATTGCAGAAGCAACCCTATGATTGACAACGCAGAAACAAAGAGAAATGACGGTTGATAGTGGAGAATAAGCATAAATGTGAAAGGAAGGTGCGAGAGAGCTGGGAAACCTTCAACTTGTTGCCTCAGTCAATGTGCAGTCTTCACGGTAACATATGAGAAATAAAACTAAAGTTTGGCTTCGTAAGGTCAAATCTGTGTATTCAGAGCATAAACAGCTACAGCATCGACAGGAAAATGAAACCAGCAGCGCCGTTTCAAACCGTAAGACCAGAAAATGAAAAAGCTCAAAAGTATTATAACCTCCACCAGCACTTTTTTTTTACAGCATCTAATAACCAGAAAATAACTTGAGACCAGCTTCTTCACATAAACACTCCACTTCACAAAAAGCCAAAAGAGAAAAAAAAAAGAGAAAAGAAAGAAAAAAAAGGCGAGAGATGACTCAGCCGCATCCTCTTCAAACCCGAGCAATCAATGATTCACAAAGCTCTGTATGCTTTCACTTCTCCGGGGTTTCAGTGTCACTCTCAGCGGTTACGCCATTTTATCAATAACACTGACAGTTTTCCATAAAGCTGAGAAGCTACGAAGCCGATGTGGTGTCCAAATCTCCTCGTAAGGTCCAGACCCCGGGATGAACCTGTGGCAACAAAAAGCACATCGTATGTATTTGTTTAAAAAGAAAGAAAGAAAGAAAGAAAGAAAAAGAAAACACTATCTTAAAACAGTAACTTTGAAACCATTTCTGTGTGTGTTTAGTCTTTTCACCTTCATGCTAAATATCTCACAGCCAGTGAACTCAGGCAACACATACGAGCCGACACTCGCTGTTTTGTTGAATTTTGGTTGAAATCAGGGCTTTGTGCACTCCACTCACATTCATTTATTAAAAGATGAGAAAAATTATTTGTTTAGGGCCTCCAAACTGTTGCAAAGCAGGAAAAGCAGTTATCACTGTAGAGAGCAGCATTAAGATTTCCCTTAGCTAATTTAAGAGTAATAGATTGAGGACATATGCTAATTTGCTTTCTAGTGCATATCAAATGAGACGATTGATACTAGTCTCACATCTGCCCATTACGTTTACAGCCAGATGGTAGTTAGCTCAGCTAATCACTGGAAAAAAGGGGAAAACAATCCCCCTCGCTCTGTCTAGAAGACAAGAGTCACCTACCTTCACTTCTAAAACTGTCAAAATGACATAACAAGACTTATTTGTTTAATCTGTTAAAGAAGCACAGTGTCCTTTGTCTCCCAGGTCAGGTTCCTCTCATAGCTTCCAGGTTTTGTGCACAACTAAGACAACCTGTTGTGAGCTATAACTAAAGCAGGGGTGGGCAACTCCATGCCTAGAGGGCCGGTGTCCTGCAGGTTTTTGAATGAACACAGCTGATTTAAATGGCTAAATTACCTCCTCAACATGTCTTGAAGTTCTCCAGAGGCCTGGTAATGAACTAATCATGTGATTCAGGTGTGTTGATCCAGGGTGAGATCTAAAACCTGCAGGACACCGGCCCTCGAGGCCTGGAGTTGCCCACCTCTGAACTAAAGCATTAACTCACACTTGATCAGCTTTACCTAAAAGAGGGCCGACAAAAGGTCCTGTACCTAGTTTAGCTCCATCTCTCTGTGGTGAAGCTACAGGCTGAGCTCATACACTGTATATATAAGACGGATGGCCCACCATAACATTACCCAGTGATTTGTAGACTATCCATTGAGGCTTTGAGTTTGGTACTTCATCCCTTGCAGTACTGTCCATACCTTTAATCATGCTTAACTCGAAGCCAAGGAAAAACCAACCACATGGAGAGCAGTTGCTGGAGGTTGCTGATTTTTACCAGGAGAAATTGGTAGCAAAGAGGGTGCTGTGCCAAAACTTCCTTGAGATTGCTTTGGCTGCTAGCAGACTGCTGTTGATACCTGTGGTTTACACGGAAGATGCTGACCTGTCTGCAAACACTTACCAACTACTTCCCAATCTTTAGTAAAATTTGCAAAAGATGCAAACCAGACACAGAGAATCTTTGCCTTCAAAGTAAATGTTGTACCTTTTTGATGCAAGCAACACATTAAAAGAGGAGATACCTTTATTTGGTCATTGCATTTCTAGTTTCCATTGCATTATTTGTAGTTTTCCCATTGTTTGATTTGTTTGCAGCTAAGTCGGTGTCTCTCATGTCAGCTACTGACAATCCTGGCAAACGGCTAGTGACTAAAGCAATCAAAAGGAGACCTCTTTGAATGCTACCAACAAAAGCAATCATGATCTCACTGGTTGAGGAATACAGATTCTTCCCTTGGCACCGGTGGTTGCCAGATGGTTGCAGACTGGTCCCTAACTGAGGTTTTAATAAAACTGAAATGATGGAGTGTCAGAAAAATTAAGTTTTACTGAAAAGAAACAAACCAAAGCTTCTTCTTTTTTTCGGTGTGGGGGGGAGATGCTTTGAGCATGTGTATATCTGATTTAAAGGTACTCGGGGGACTGGCTTCCTTTTGCAGTGACCTTCAAGTGGCCATTCAAGGAACTGGGGTTTTTGTTACTTGGGCTTTATTTTAGAAGTAGAAGTTCAGCAGCAATAGATCACTGGCTCTGCAGTACGGAATATCCCTGTTTATATCACCTATTTATGGAAAAATATACTCCGCATGAATGATGGATGCACTTTCCTTGTGTGCAAGGTGAGAGCAAAGCAAAAGTGTCTGAAACCTGCATTTTTTTTAATGGCCCCATGGGCAAATTTGTAAAAACCCTTTGGTCTTTGCAGAAATCTGTGGATAAATGTCTCTTGGCCCTGACTTGAGTAATTACTGTCGTGTTTGATAAGCTCAGTGCCTCAGTCATTTTGGGTCACACTGATTTAAAAAAAACCCCAAAAAAACACATTAAATCTACCGTCATCTTATCCCCTCGCTTATGTGGTTTTAACACCATGCTTTCTTTTACAAACTTGACTTTAATTCTGATTGGAAAGGTAAATTCTTTTAAATGGTTTAGACAGAAAACAAACTGTACAGCGAAGTTGTGGCGGGAACATCATCTACGTCAGTAGGAGGAGCAGCAGTGCGAGCAGGAAAAGAAGAAGAGGCCGGTTCGTCTGCAGGGTGGTCGTTGCCGCCGAGTTGGTGGGACGCTTCCTCTTGGGGCCGTTGCAGAGTGGGGTGTTGCAGCAGGAGATGCAGACTGAATTCAACCTGCCGGTGCAGAACTGCTGGTAGCCAGAGGAGGCGATGAGGCAAGCCCCCGAGGATGCACACGATTTCCGATAATGTATCCCTGAAAATAATAATCAAGAGCTCTCTAAATGTTTCCAGTGTTCAAACAGAAAAAATAGTAAAAATAGTAAAAGAGATTCCAGTAGTTGGAAATGCATTTAACAAAAGTTGCAAAGAAATGTGGATTCATTGTCCCTGCTGTAATAAGATTGCTTAGACTCAACTTATAAGAGCTGCAGTACTTTATTGTCCTATTTGGACTTTGAAAGTACTGATTTCCTGTCTCCTTTTATTAACTAACGTTGTGCGGTGAGGGACAATTTGTTTCTGCGATGTGTTGGAAAAATGCTTTTTATTCACTCTGCACTTTCTGACTTCTTTATCAAGTAACCTTTCTCTATCTAGTACCTATTGCTGTTATTTGTTATGTTTTTCTACGGTATGCTTGATATAGGAAGCATTTTGTCATCTATGTGGTATTGTTACTGTATTATTCATGTGGTTGTTTCTGTTGTCTGCAAATGAAATATTCCTTTGCTGGACAATAAAAAAGTGTGGATTAAATCAAATTCAGATAAATTCAATTTCTGCAGCAGGAAGTTCCATTAAGTGGAAAGGCAGGAAAAATGTGCATCTTAGCATTTTTCCCCTTGATAGTGCTTGTTTGGTATGTGGTAATAAGGCACATGTTTCTACAGAACTGCTTCTCTGTCTGTCAAGGTAAAGCCTAAAATTACTATCTGAGGCAATGCTATGAGGGATCAATGTTTTACTCAAGGACACCACGCAAGGCTACTTTGTTGCAAGCACTGAACCTATAAACTTCCAATTATAAGACACTTCATCAAGCCACGTGCTGTCTGAGATTTGACAACTAATAGGAAAAATCTGATAAGCCAATCAATTGTTATCTGAAGGGACTTTTGCAGGTAGCTGCAAACATAATATTGGCAGTCTGTAAAAATAAAGAATATTTTTACTTCAAATACTAGGCTGCAAACATGCTAGGGAAAGCTAATGCACAATACCGTGTAAAGATGGCTGGAGTAGTTGAAAAATAAACATCCCCAAATTTAGTAAAAATTGAGCAAAAACCAGATTACAGTCACTAATGTTGGTTTAATTTCTGATTTGCATAATATCAGAAATTAAACTGATATTAATATATATATATAATAACATAATTGTTAAGGCAGGAAAAACATTTACACAATAAAATGATAATTAATGATGTGCTTTAGCCTTGGATTAATTATATTAATATCAGTACTACAACGGAAGATTTTTCTTTTTTTTTTAAAAATCGAGCTATACGTAAACACCAAAATCCAACAAAGAACAGGTTACTGTTGACAGTTGTAGCTCAGATTCTAATAGCATTTTGCACAAGCTCCCACTCGGGTCTTTAAATAAGAGTGAACAAAGCAAACTGATAGCTAATGACTGTTTGGGCCTTAGAAACAATGTTACAAAAATATGTTTGATACTAGGTTAATTAATATCTAGATTAAATAAAAATACATTTATTACATGGAAGAAATTGAACTAAAGGAACAGGACTGAATAAAACTGAAAATGTTTTTTTCCCAACACTATAATAGAAAAGACTTTTAGAAGAACTAGCCGTTGTCTGTGCACATTTTTTGATTATGTTAGCTGGGGATGCTAAAGTGTAAACGTCCTCAAAATGTAATGAAAATCACGTTAATAATTTCTGTTTAGAAACTGAGAGCACCTTGGATCTTTCACAGCTCTTTAAATAAGATTTAACTCAACAACCTTGAAGTTAATGATGAGCTTTGGTCTTTGAAGAAATGCTATGCTAATACTTTTCATACTTGGCTATGCTAGTTAGCCAAACAGATGTTAGCAGATAAATACACAGATAAATGTACAGATAAATATTTTATGGAAGCTTGATTTTGCTACTGAATTTTAATTATTTAGTTTTACCATCAATAAATTAAAATGTTAGATAGCATCTCAAAAAAAAAAAATAACTTGAAATTTCGAATTAGATATGCCAAAATTTTAACTTGAAATTTTAAGATACTCAGTAAGTTCAAATTTTGAGATAGCTCAAAATAATATTCTGGTGCACAAAACAAATTAAACTTCCTACCTTATACTGCTCTGGATGTGAAATAAAAGTTCAAACGCTACACCCGTATTGTGGTTGTATCCACTTTTCCTTTTATTATTTCATATTTATACATTTTTAGACAATAAATGGAGGTTTGTTAATCATTTTTTGCATTTTCTACCACATGACCCCTGGTAGGTTTCCTAGTTTGGAATTTTAAAAAAATGTCTGCTTAAAAAATTGTCCCACCTCTTTTCCAAACTGTCAGTTTTTTTTCACTCTATAGACTGAGCTATTTTATTTCTTGTAAGGCGGCACAAAACTAATCTAATCTCAGTGGCAGCTGAATGAAAGCCTCTTGTCTTTGACAAATGAGCTGAATGAAGTAGTTTCAGTCAGCTGGGGTTTTGGATCAGCAAAACAACATCACAATACAAATAAGGCTTATGTGAAAATGAGCCTGCAAATAAAAAAAAAAAAAAAGCAATGGATGGGAACGTTTATGTAGGTTTACAACTGGAACATTTTTACACACTGTACCACAGCCCAGTGTCCCCTCTGTGATACCGAGTCCTACACCAGAGTCACCCTACACATCAGTCAGTGCTTCTCTTTTCCTTCAAAGCAGAGCAAAGGAACTAAATTACAGATAACAATATCTATTTCACTGAAAATCACAGGAGATTGCTCTTTTGGACCAGTCAATAAGACACAACGATTAACAGGTATTTTGGGATGGAAGAAGTTAGGTATCCTTGGGTACTTTCTTTTTTGTCACTAATGACAGAGAAAATTACACACATCTGCAAACATCACAGTTAATTTAAAGAGTTGTTTATGTAGGCTCCACTTACGTGACTCGAAAATAAAAGTCATGCTACGACCAAAACGAGCGTAGTCAATTACGGCAGCCTCACCTAAATGGCAGAGAAGAAAACTTAAGAAGTCACGTTCTCTCTGAGCGATGTGTTTTCAGTTTCATCTCTGGTTTCCAGACGGTCACCTTGCTTCTTTCTACTGATAAACAGAAACTCTATCTTTGTACTTTTGGCTGGCTCAGACTGTGCATTAATCCCAGTCTCTCAACCTTTATGGACTCTGTTCTGGAGCGCGTAAAGGAATGAGAAAACCAAGAAAGACATTCCTCCATCAAGCATACATAATTCTGTAATCTCTGTAACGTTGGGGCCTCTACTGAGGCATTGCCAGACTTCATGAGCTAACAACGAGAAGCGGCTTACCATCAGATTTGACCAGCACCTCCTTCTGGCACATGTCCTGTACGTTGACGGTACAGTTGACGATGTACTCTGGCGTGGAGCAGTCATTGTGCTTCATCTCCTCACACTGGTAGCACTGAATCTGAAGGGTATCTCCTGCCACACAGAGCGGAAGCAGAAATGTTCAGTTATTGCAGGACTTTTTTTGTTTCCCGCCCTACAGAGTTCTTCACATGGATAATCAATCCTCCCGTCACAGCTTGATAAGCAAAGGAATGCGTTTAACATTTGTTTTTTTGTCAAATGTCAAAAGCGCGGAGCTTAAAAAGGTGACTAGATTTTTTTATCTTGTGAAGAAAATGAGAAAGATAGGCCTAGCCACTGTTTCCAAGAGGTTTGCAAACTCAAGATTAGCAGCAGGTGGAATCTTAGCTTCCAGAGAGATCGGTTGAATAAACTTTGATATTACTTATTGATACTTTAAAGACTTAAAAATATGCCCATAAGCTGCATTCTTCTATTATGCACCACTGAGTGATAATGAATGATGCTCTGTGATTAATGTGACTGTGCAAAGCTATGAAATTTCAAGCAATATGATTTTTTAATTTTCCAATCATTACCTAGAACTTGAATCTAGCGTTTGAGTCCATCAAACGATCAGAAAAAGTGTTTACTGAGGTCGTAAACCAAGGAGAGTGTGTACAATCTGAAAAGCAAAAGCAGTCACCCCCTGCCGGCCATTAAATTAAGTCACTTGGTCCACGAGTATTGCCTGCTTTTAAACTCATTTTCAGGTGTTTTTTTTTTTCTCTCCTCCCCCCCTTCTCACCGTCTCTTCTCCCCTTTGGTTTTCTTTCTTTCTCTCCCTCTCTTTCTTTCATTCTTTCTCCCTGTCCTATCCCCCAGTCATGTCTGTCCCGTTTGTAGCAACTGAAAATAAAATAAATTCATACTTATAATAAAGGTCAATCAAATGGACCAATATGGCAAGGCCATGATGATCCAAATCAAATCAAATCACTTTTATTGTCACATCACATGTGCAGGTACAGTGGTACAGCACATATGAGTGAAATTCTTGTGTGCGAGCTTCACAAGCAACAGAGTTGTGCAAAATACAATAACATAAACAGGCAAAATACAAGAATGGCTGCATCTTAAACTAATAAATATATGTACAATATATAATAGTATATGCATTTCTGGATGTGTATACTAAATATTTTTCTACTGTGTGTGTGTGTGTGTGTGTGTGTGTGTGTGTGTGTGTGTGTGTGTGTGTGTGTGTGTGTGTGTGTGTGTGTGTGTGAGTGTGTGTGTATACACATATGTTTACAAATTAAATAGAGTAAACAATAAAATAAAATATATAAAAATATACAGAGTTGAGACATGTGCAAAACAGTGGCATTACTGTACAGTATGGAGTGCATAATGTTGAAGTTCCAGTAGTGAAGCTGAGGTGTCTATGACGTGTTCAGCAGTCTGATGGCCTGGTGGAAGAAGCTGTCTCTCAGTCTGCTGGTACGGGACCGGATGCTGCAGAACCTCCTTCCTGATGGAAGTAGTCTGAACAGTTTATGGCTGGGGTGACTGGAGTCCTTGATGATCCTCCCCGCTTTCCTCAGGCAGCGCTTCCTGTAGATGTCTTGGAGGGAGGGAAGCTCACCTCCAATTATCCGTTCAGAGCACCGCACTACTCGCTGGAGAGCTTTGCAGTTGTAAAATTGGTAAAATAAATCCGCTTGGCATCTTTCTTGGCCTTAAGACAACAATTCTGATGGCTAAAGATCCAAACGGAACACAAAAAAACAAACAAACAAAAAAAACTCATTTTCAGTCCCAGTTTAACTTAACAACGAGTGTCTACAGCCACCTGTAAAACACGGTGGAGGCTCTGTCATGGTTTGGGGCAGCATTTCAGCCAGTGGTGTTAGAGATCTTGTCAAAATGAATAAATTTTGAACACAGAAAACTACCGTCAGATTTTGATGCACCATGCAAAACCATCTGGAAAGTGTCTAATTGGCAACAGCTACATTTATTTGATTGACTGGCCTCTCCAGAGCCTGGACCTCAGTGACTCAGACAACAGGGTTTTTCACACCTCCCCCTCCTCTCAGTGGCGTTATGCACCATAGCAACTGGCCACCACAGGTGTGTGGTGATGTCACCCTTTCTCCCTCACTGTAAACCTAATCATGGCTGATCCTGTGAGTGTGTACGGGCTTCAGCCTGTCCTCTTCAAACAGCAGCTTTAAAGCAAGTCAGGATAGCCATTATTCGTCATATGAACAGCACAGGTGACGACTGATGAAGTTTGCCAGACTTTTCTCAAGTTTGAAGCTTCTCTTCACAGGACTATTTTTCTTGGATTATTGATAATTGTTCACAGTATCTGTGAATCAGGGCTGTGTGTTTATTTCATCCCCTGTGTTCTCCCAGAGTTGAGCAATAGATGCTTGTACAGATTTTAGCACATATACCATTTGTTCAACGGTATATTTGCTCCAAACATGACTAATGGCGCTCCACGAGAGCGCTCTGTCATCTTTTTATCTCCCGCTGGGTGTTTTGACTTTACGCCTACAAGCAGATGGACAGTGACAAGGTCTCCTGACTGCACGAAGCACATAAAAGCACATGTTTTTCTTTGCTCTCTTTTATTGGATGTCTCGAGTGTCAGCAGAGAGGTTATAAATTCACACAGAATAAGCCGTAAAGAAAACACATCAGCAAAGCTCAGAGTGGCTGTTCTTAATTCCCTGGTAACCCGTGGATTTTATAGCTGATAAAACTCCATTTACAACACAAGGCTGCCGCGTTAAATGTAATCTGCCAGTGCATAGATGACCCATCTGCATCCTCATCCCCTGAGGTACTAAAACCAGAGTCCAGATTGCTACGGCAACCTCTTGTAAATATACAAATGCACTTTTATGTGGGTTTTTGCCAATTTCATCTGCCGCTTTTTTTAACTTACCAGCAGAGGCACCTGCAGACCCCACAGGAGCTGTTCAAAGACCTACTCGGTCCTCATTTTTCAAATAAATCATTCTGTTCTTTGCATGTTCTCTGTGGAGAGTTAAAAGATCAGCTCTAATTTAAAAGGTGGACTGGACTCCGTCAGTCATTGCAGATGCAGCAGACATATTTCTTTTGCAGTCATCAAGCTAAATCGTGAGGATTAATTTGAAATACATATATTCAGCCTTTATTTTGAAAGAGCACCATAGGCCTTTATTAACTTTTATACTGTATGAGAAAAAATGAGCCCAGAAATCACAAAAATATTTATTCTTCTCCTATTGCCAGAAACCTTGAGATGCCTCATGCTCTGCAGAGATCTGCACAAACCGTGAGGCAAAAAGAAAGCGAGTGTAAGTAAACATATGAATTAGACATCACAGTGCCCACAATGACGTTGTAGTCCTGTTTAAGTGACTGCTACGGTTGGAAATCAGATGATCTACAGACTCAGTGCCACCTCTCTGCATCATAACTAAAAGCAAAGTCTATAAATTGATATAATCAAATCTCAGCATTTTTCATCAGATCACTGCGTATGCTCACTTACTGCTCCATGCTAGGATATCTTCATCAGAGCAGCTCAAAAATCCATCCCTGCAGAAACGCCTGCTCTAAACATCCCACTCAAGCTTATAGATATCACTGGTGCAATCATTTAAATGGCAGCAAGCATTCACCTCCAACTTTAAAGGTCCTCATATCATATCCACCACCACAACACCACCCTAAAACATTTAAACCAAGCAAAACCTGCAGACTCCTGAAATCAGGACACCAGGGCAGCATCCAGCTCCCGAGCTCTGCTCATCACTTCTAGAAAACTGCTCCAAATCCCCCGTTTTCTTAGTTCCGCTACAGAAAACAGAAGCTGATAAGAAAAACAAACCACATCCTTTTTGCTACTTCTATATCGCCATCCTCTGAACTCCAATCACCTGACGCACTTCGGAACAACTAAATACTATCAGCGCGATGTGGCAGAAAGTCATGCAGCAGCGGGAACAAGCGGCTCGCACTTTTAAAGGGCGTCATTGGCGTGGATTTGTGTTACTATCGTTCCCACTTTGCTCCAAAATGAGCTCGGGGTGTGTGAGGTGTGGGGTGGGGAGGGGGGCACTCCTTCTCCAAAACCATAAATCCTTCCTGCTGTTTCTCCACTTATCTAAAAACATCTGGAAAGATTCTCTTTTTTATTCTTTATCTATTGGCACAAAGACGAGTCTCCAAAATGTTATACCGGCTATAAAGTAAAGTTCATCTCGACTGGCTCTAAACGAAGTCTGCATTTCCTCTCTGTGCGTGGACATGACTTCTATCATCATACGAGACCACTGCGGTCTCCCCAAAGTTGCACCTACCCGCATCGAGGAAGACTCCGAGCAAAGTCGCGAAAACGAGCAGACGCATTCTCTCCCAAATGATGCTCGGAGGGGAAACATGAAGAGAAGAAGAATGGGGGGACAAACACGCGTGGACTCCCTGAGGTTGTTATAAGACAAGGAGGTCGACCCGCCGCAGAGGCAGCCCGGACTCGGATCCGCTCATCCTCCCGGCTGACTGAAGTGACAGCGAAGAAAAAGAGAGAAAAGAGAGAGAGGGGAGGAGAAGTAGTAGAAGAAGAAGCTCCTGCCCGCAAAGTGCGCGTCTCCTCTCCACGCAGCGCGACTGGAGACAGATCCGGAGCGCAGAAATCATAAAGCGCAGCCACGTGACTGGAGCGCACAGTTGGCGTTTCCATTTCTCATCCTGTGCCCGCGCACTAATTGCGCATCATTACTTGTTATCCTCTCACCGTGACTCTTTCTCGGCGCTGGCGTGTGGATTTGGATAACAAATAAAATCCCCCGTGCGCAAAACTTGGATTGGCGCGTTTTGGTGCTTCCTAACAGCTCGCCAGAATATTTCAGTGAATGGAGTCCGTAGCCCCCGCAAAGGGAAACACTTTCCCCTCGTCTGCTTTTAAGATCTTTCAGTCACGTCAGACTCTCAGTGGCCTGGATCACATAGCACGCGACGTGTATGTTTTTAATGGCGTAAATAGTCCGCGTGCAGACGCACATTTTAATATTAATTAATGTAACTGAGTCAGCTCTAAGGTGGGGTGGAGGGCCACGGTGCGTTTACTATTACTCTTATTCACGCCATGTAATCGCCATGAACTTATATTAATGACGTATCATGTGATCATTTTACTTTAGAAAATAAAAGATGTAATGTGAACATTTTTATCTGCGCGCGCGTGTGTCACTGAATGCATTTAACTCCGTTTTATTTATATCGCACCAAACAATCACTTTACACCGTGAAGTAAAGATCCTACACTAATAGATTGATTTATCTATTGATAATTATCACTGAATCACTGTAACTGTACCTGCCTGTGTGCACTGAGCTAAACTTTGTTATTTAAGTAACGTCTGTCAGTTCAAACTACACAGAGCAGAAAAATGTTATCTTTACAATTAAATTAACTCAGGCAATCCATCTTTTAAAAAAAAAACAAAAAAAAACGACAACAACAACTATCATCTAGTTTTGGATTCTAAGTACATACACAGAATACTCAGAGGAGAAGATTGTGCCATCGCTGTTGCTCCAGTGTTTCCCTCCGCTGCAGGTGTTGGGGTCCTGAGCTTATTAATCTGTGCTCAATACACCTGTGAACACCACTGTTGGTGAACATGTGGCTAATTAAGTCATCAACTACTTCATTAGGTCCACCTGTTTAATGCAAATATCTAATTGGCCAATCACATGGCAGCAACTCGAGGCCCTCAGGCACAGCCTGCTGAGGTTCAAACTGAGCATCAGGATGGAGAAGAAAGGTGATTTAAGTGTGAATGTGTCATGGTTGTCGGTCTGAGTGTTGGGATTTCCCCACACAACTATCTTAGGTTTTAATAATAATAATAATAATAATAATAATAATAATAATACATTTTTATTTATGAGCGCCTTTCAAGTCACCCAAGGACACTTTACAATAGGATAAAACACTTAGTAAAACAATGGCAGAATAAGAACAATAAAACAAAAGCACAAGATAAAATGAACAAACAGTGGATTCACAGTGAATATACAGATTTGAACAGATGAGTTTTGAGTTGGGATTTAAACTGAGAGAGAACCAATGTTTCTTATTTCAGGGGGCAGAGAGTTCCACAGCCTGGGAGCAGAGCAGCTGAAAGCTCTGCTTCCCATGGGGGTGAGGCGGAAGAAAGGTACAGCAAGCTGGATAGAAGAAGAAGATCTAAGTGAACGGGCAGAACAGGTAGTGGTTAACAGGTCAGAAAGGTAAGGAGGAGCGAGGTTATGAATGGCCTTGAAGGTGAGCAGAAGAAGTTTGAATATTATCCGGAATTTCACAGGGAGCCAGTGAAGTTCCTGAAGAACAGGGGTGATGTGCTGGTAGGAGGGGGTTCTGGTGATAATGCAAGCAGCAGAGTTCTGAAGCAGTGGAAGCTTATGGAGGGATTTTTGGGGGAGACCATGCAGAAGAGAATTGCAGTAGTCAATACGGGAGGTAACAAGACTATGGACAAGAATGGACGTAGACTGGGTGGAAAGAGAAGGAAGCAATCTTAATGCTGCGTAGATGGAAGTAGGCAGAACGGGTGAGATTATTGATGTGAGATTTATAGGAAAGTGAACTGTCTAGGATGACACCAAGGCTCTTAACCTGAGGAGAAGGGAAAACTGTGGAGTTATCGATGGTGAGTGAGAAATGGCTCGCCTTCAAAAGGTTGGATTTGGTGCCAATAAGGAGGATCTCAGTTTTATCCTCATTACAGAGAATGTGCTGTAAAAGAGACAATATCCAGTGAGCAGCAGTTCTCTCAGTTAGAATCCTTTGTTGTTGACAAGCCTGGTTCAAGCTGGTAAAAACAGGCAATACTAACTAAACTAACCACTTTTTGCAACTACAGTATGCAGAAGAGCATTTCAACAGGAGCAGAGGGTCACTCCTGACTAGAGATGGACCGATCAGATATTATGTATCGGTATCCGATACTGACGTAAATTACTGGATCGGATATCAGAGAGAAATAAAAAAAATGTCATCCGATCCATTAAATATAAAAAAAAAAAAGCACCTCACAAAACTTGCAACACGGCGTAACTCGGCTCATAACCGTAGCATGTCGGAGCAGTGTGCTCAAGTGATAGAGAGGCTGTGTGTATTTGTAGCCTTGCTACCAAACCAGCATTTCATCTCTGAGAAGGTTATCCCAGAGAGAAGTAAAGCAAGTGTGTAAGTTCATCTCTGAATGTTTGTAAAGCATTCCCGCGTTAAGCTTAACAACCAATACCTGGAGCGACTGCCTCTTCTTGCTGCTACTTCAATCCTGAAACTGATCAATGATCAGCTGATCGGCTTTTCTGTCGCGACTCCGTCTCTCTTGTTTGTTTTTGGCCCACTTTGCACCAGAAAGAGGAAACCAGCGGCTGAACAACAGCAGCACGTTTAAGCTTGATCAGCTGTTGTTAGAATTTATTTAATATTACTTTCTACACCAGGATCTTTTTCTACGCAGCTGACGCTGGTAACTGTGCAGGGGCGGATCTAGCAAAGTTTAGCCAGGGGGGCCGATAGGGCATTAACAGGGAAAAGGGGGCACAAAGACATACTTTTCTTTCTTATTGTCATTTAAAATGTCTAGCTTTTAATCAATAACTATCTGAATCTTACACCCAAAGTCCATTACTGTATATAGTAACTATTAAGTCTAATATACCCTAGTAAGCTATAGTACTTTTTCCTTTGGGAAGATACCGTCTTTGCAGTCTGCAGTTCTGTTGAAGGAAAATGTTGAATCTATTTAATTATTTTTCAAAAATAATTTATTTCTGTGCATTTTTTTTCCACACTGCATCAAATTAAAGTTGATTACGTCGATTAAGCATCATGAGGTGGAGTGTGGTTCCCTATTTTTTTTTTTTTTGCTGGGAGTTTGCAACCCTATTAGTTAGGTTGCTTAAGATTTCTGCTAAGTACTCTTTAAAATACCAGAATAGGAAGGATGGAGTAGGTTTAAGTTTATTAGATTGATCAGTATTGCTGAACTATGAAATATTTTGGGTGCAGTGTATTTTTTACATACAGGTATAACAGAATAGCTTTAGTGTTTATTTAAACTTGAGTTTGAACTTATACAAAATGCAGCAACATATTAAAAAAACAATTTTATTGATTAAAAAACACTATATCGGATTCATATCAGTATCAGCACATATCCAAATTTATGATATCGGTATCGGACATAAAAAAAAGTGGTATCGTGCCATCTCTACTCCTGACATCAACCAAGAGTCGTCTTATTCTTCTTCTCTAAAAACAGGAAACTGAGGCTACAATTCAAATTCACCAAAACTGCATAACAGAAGATTGGAAAAATGTTGCCTGGTCTGATGAGTATCAATCGCTGCTGCTACCTTCAGATGTTTTCAGAATTTGGCATAGACATTAAAACATGGATCCATCCTGCCTCGTATTAGTGCTGCTGGTGGCTGCTTCCAGCAGGATAACACACCATGTCACAAGCTTAGATCATCTCAAACTGGTTTCTTGAACATGATAATGAGTTCAGTCCACAGTCGCCAGATCTCAGTCCTATAGAGCGCCTTTAGGATGCTAAATGGACAAATCTGCAGCAACTCAGCGATGACATCAAGTCTATAATAGACTAAAATCTTTGAGGAATAAAGGGACACATCAGTACTAGAAGTGGCAAAGCCAGCGTTTGTATACGAGGACAGCAAGGTGACTGTCTAAAAGTGCTAGCAGAGGATGGCTTTGATCCATCGACCTCTGGGTTATGGGCCCAGCACGCTTCCGCTGCGCCACTCTGCTGCACAGCACCCCAGATGGGACTCGAACCCACAATCCCTGGCTTAGGAGGCCAGTGCCTTATCCATTGGGCCACTAGGGCTGCACACAGGAGCTAGCAGGTACAAGCAAGGTTTAACTTTAAAGGCCACTTAGACATGTTAGTGTTTGTGTGCCTGATTATTAACCCATCTTTTATGGAAGACTTTTATAATCACTTGATTACTGCTCCATTTTATTATCTGCAGCAATTGACGTTAGCTTTGGCTTCCGGACCGTTTGCACGTCTCTGAAACTCACTTTGAGAACTTGAACTACTTTTCAGTTTTTGAGTCATATTTTCAGTGCTGTGAAAATCCATTAAGTTCTGCACTTTGTGACTCATTTTTATTTTTGTAATACCGCTGTGTAGTCATCACCAAATTCTGTGACCTTTTCATGAGATTTTAATAGAGTCTTTTCTAATAATAAATCAGTGCACCTATGTCTCTCTTATTCTTTCCTCTCTTCGCTTTCTACTAATCCTCTACCAGTTGCTTCCACTTCCTGAGACTTGGTCAGCTGGAGATCTCTTCCCGTTAAAAGGGAGTTCTTCCTTCCCACAGTCACCAGATGCTGCTCACAGGGGTTATTGGTCTAATACTGTCAGTTCTTTACGTTGTGATTCACCTTGAGGAGGTGCACAGAACAAAAGAAAAAAAAAAGCATACTACTTAACCTCGACTTTAAATCTGCTCGCGTGCTGATCAAATAACCTACAAGCCTATGCTTAAGAGGCAGACACAGAGAAAGAGAAATCTTCCAAGCGTGCTTAAACTAATTGCGTTTATTTATATGCGTATAATTGCCCATCAGGGGACTAATGGTTATAAATCCCTCTGCAGCGAGAGCTCTGAGCTTCAGCCCCTGCTGACAGATTGTGAGGGGGAAGCGGTGATTACACGCCATGAAACATTTTGGGGAGGGCTTTCTCCAAACCTGGATTTTCACACTCAAAGAAAGGTCAAATGAATCACCGCGCATGAAGGTACACGTAGCACCTCCTTCACTATATTGCTCAGAAAAACACACAGACATCCTGCAGCTCAGGTTGAAATAGGAAATAGTTTCTCGTATTTATTTAGGAAATAGTTACATAAAATATAGCATTAAAGTCTAGTGTAACAGACAAATTGCACACAGTAATAATAATAATAACAATAATATTAATTACCAAAGTAACACTGCTGGTAACTTTCTCTTTACAAAGGAAGGTTTAAGGAAAGAGGTGAAGCATGACAATCACACTACAGTCTGACAGTACAAAATGTGGGTATAAATACTGGACATCTAGAAAAATACACAAGTCCTCTTCAGACTCTCTTCATACAATATTAACAGTTTCATAGAAAAATCGAAAACACACAGTCGGCTTTGTTGATTAGCACCAGCTGGTCAAATTCCAGAGAGAAATTTGGCATAAGTCCTCCTAAAGTTCAAATATGTCTTTTAAAATAAAGTGATAAAAAACATTTTAGCGTGAGCTCTTATTGATCAAAATAATATTTTTACTTTTTTAATAAACAAGAAGAAGAAGAAGAACCCCCGAAAGAAAACACAAGACGCCAAACAGCAGATATTAAACAGGTTGAACGATTGGCAAACAATTTACATCTTTTTACTTTCTTTTTGTTCTTACTTGCATATATATCGATCAGCAATGCCCGTTCTGATATTAACTTATATTTTTTTAATATATACAACATAATATACAGCCACGAGAGGAAAGCTGAGGTTTTGGAGAGTTTGGGTGTGTTATGCTACATGAGACTACGTTTGGATGCTTGGAGAGCCATTTGTCTACGCTTTCCCGATGGCTGCATTTTCATTTTTACAATTGACTTTAGTCCAGTATGTTCCCTGAGCTACGGGCGACGACACCTTATGTTTGCTTGTTTTATCTGTACCTGGTCTCATTAATTCATGTACCATGTGGAAACGTCCTCGTTAGAGAAGCTGCGGAGATAGTTTGCCACCACTGGGTGTTTAACTGCTTAAGGAAAAACACAACAAGATAAAAATGATAAAAAAATGACTAAAAAATAAAGAAAACTTTAATTATTTCTTTGAAAAATATTGCTTCAAGAGAGTAGACAAAGATGGATCAGGTGGGGTTTTTTTTTTTTTTGGCGTTGTACATAGCAGCAATCCATAAAATGACACCTTGGGTTTTAAAAGAGTTTCAAAAATGGAGTTTTATGCAAATATTGCCCATTCTGCTTGTCGTGTTTTCTTTTATGTTACACATCTTTGTACAGTATTTGTTACAGTGCAATGATAAGAAGTACGCCAGCATGTTGGGAGGAAGAGGAGGAGGGGTGGTCACTAATGATACAAACGTGTATTGCTGTCCAGTCCACCACACCCAAGCCAAACCTTTAAAAGTCCTGTTTTTTTTTCCTTTTCTTTTTTAGGTTGAGGATTCATCCTCGCGTCTGTAGCTCTTCTAAGTGCTTCTTGTTGTAGGCAGAGGGGACCGGCACTCGTCCTTTCATGGCAGGGCTGTAACTGAGACAAGTCCTCTCCAAGATTAGCTGAAGGTTGAGAGGAAATCAAGAGGAAACCAAACCAAAACCAAGACATTTTTGCAAGGCTGAGAAAAAAGAAGAAAATAAACACAAACTAGTGTTTAGGGCTGGGCGATAGGACAGTGACCGGCTCAGATGATTGGCGGTTGTATTATTGCGGGAGATTTTTGGCGTTTTAGTTTGCTAATTTTCTGCGTTGCAACCGTAGACAGTATAAAAGATGGACGTGGCTGTGGTAACATCACCCATTGGTTTCAGAAGTTCAAACTTCCGATGTTTTTAAACTGCAGTTGACGAGAGATGGACATGGCACACCCCGGATAATCGTTAAACTTCAAAGAATGTACAGAATGGACTTAAATATTTACTGAGTATGACCCAAATTAAGCAAGTGAGCTAATAAACTCATCACAAAAGTGTTTACTTATGTTGTCTCTGGATTATTTTCCCATAGACAACAAGTCTTTCTGGAACTACAGGTCTGCATTCCCTGGTGGTTATTAAAGAATAATGCAGGTTTAAGGCACTTCTGCATTGGCTTTATTTCTTTATTTATTTTGTTATACTCGGAAGTACATCCACCTTTTATAATGTTGCTGTAAATAATTAACTCTAAAGTGCAATAGCTCCTTACTTTCTGGAGGTTTTATGAGCAAGAGTGGAAAGCTGTACACAGATATCAAAGTTTTTCACTGACATGCCAAATGTTCCTGGTTTTCTACCCTAATTGTTTGATAGAGTTGCTGTTATCCCATCTGTGGTTCCCAAAGTTTGGGCATTTTCAACAAATAAATACAAACTTTTTAAAATGTCGGCTTTCCAAAATGATGCCACTTCAAATTGATAGTTTAATTTGGGAATGGCTGCTTTAAGATGCTAAGGTGTACCTCAGTTTGCCAAAATAATTAGTTGTGGAGATGTGGCAGAAAATGTTAATGTATCGCCCAACCCTGTTAGGGGTAATCCCCTAGAAAAACAGATGTAATCTACCCAAAAATCCACTCCATATGTCCACTGTGTCGTTCAACCTCCAGCCAATCAAGGCATGATTTCCAATAAGAAGGACAGAATCTGAAACCCAAAGAAAGACTTGAGGAGTCAGTCCAAAGACGTAAGAGAAATGTCTTGAAAACTGGACTCCATCTCTACAGCCCTGCTTTTTCAGACTTCGTTGGATCCCTGGCTGGTGCAGGAAGAGAAGCTGTCGTACAGCGAGTCGCTAAGGGAGCCCACGGGATCCACCCCGGGCCTGCTCGTGAAACTGGAGGAGGACGAGGCCTCGTCTCCTTTGAAGCAGCTCTCCCCGCTCTTCCCCCCGTCGGCGTGGCAGTCAGCTCTGCGGCCGCCCGAGCCTGTGTCCGGGTACAGGCTGCTGGAGCTGCTCTGATTCAGCTTGTTTAAGGACTCCAAAGAGAAGTCGAGAGAGAGCGGCTGGCTTGCGCTGACGGGCATCTTCTCCATGGGAATCTCCTTCTGCAGAGAGAAAGGAACATCTGTTAATGAAGAGCAAATACACGCTAGTTCATGTTACGGTAAATGCTGCAGTGTGAACTTTTGCGCTGCCCTGTCTCTACTCTAACAACAGTGAGTAGGACAGTGATCTATATTGAGATTTTTGTCACGCTCAACGACCAAATGTACGTCTTGGGTGCTGGCAGGCATTCATCGCAGGGAATTTGGTCCCCTCGGCACTCTTCCTGCTACATTAACTGTGCCATTCAACGTTATTATTTCTTTTGCATTACCTCTGGCCATCTGCTTTGTAGGAATACATTAGTAAAAAAGCTGCTGTTTGTTAACACTGCTTCAATTAGCAGGAGTGGTTTCATCTCTTAGCTGATGCCAAAATGTGCCAGACCAAGAAACACACCTTTAGCTAACTCAGCTACAAAAACTGTAAAAGCATGCATTAGCCGTCTGCTTCACTGTCATATGACCCATTGCCACACAATCACAGAGTAAAATAATCCCTTCAGAGGGAAAGCAACACAACACATACACCTAAAAATAGTCTGTTCTTATTCATAATGTACCTGCTTCCCAGTATCTTTTTAATGCGTGTCTCAAAAGACACTTTAACAAGCTAGTTACTGTACCCCTCAGCATCAAAACACCTCCTCAGAGGCTGTAAACAACTTTATTTCTGCAACAAATAAAGCCTGGGAGCACAGCAGCTATCTTCATAGGTGCTTTTTGCAGGGGTAAGTACACAGAGGAGTAGCTGCAGGGGCTGGACAACCTCTAGGGACCCTCCAAACCTGGACCGTTTAGCATTTAGCTGCGAGCTGTAGCTCCCTTCGGACATAAATCCAGAACTACTTCACACAAGGAGCACAAACACATACACCACTGAACTTTATTAGCACAATTTGGCCCGTGAAAACTCTTACTGCAAGGGTCACGCACACACAGAGATCTTTAAAAGTTCCCCTTAATATGAAGGTCTCATCTGCCTCTTATCACACTGAAAACGTGATCACATTTGTCTTACTTAGCCATAAATACATGCTGTCACAGCCTTTATTACAAAAGTTCCACCTAAATAAAAACCAAAAGGGTTTGATCAAATAAGTCATAAAGCAAGGAATTTCTCCTTTTTATCAAAGAGGCCACAACGAGAAAAGTTTAATTTGGTAATTTCTGATTTAACAGTATGTAAAAGTGGGCGACCTAAGGAGACATTAGCTCACCTTTTTTGTTTACTTTGTAAAAATGTCTATGTTCATAATGCTGCTATATCCCAGCCTAATTAATATACTGTAGGGTGAAAGCTTCACATGAGCCTGTTGCTGTTAGTCTGGTCCACAGGGTTGACATTTCCAGCCACAGAGCAGGCTCATAGCATCAATGTATAAGAAGCTGAAGTCACGTAATTCTGAACTGTAGCAGGAAGTACAGTGTTCCTTTATGTAAGCACAGCTGTTAATTAATTAATTAGTCCTGTTGTCTGTGAAACCATTGATTGAACAGCTTATTTTAATTTATTTTTTTATTATTTATATTTTTAATTCATTCTAAGGTCTGTATGTAATGGAAGTGTGCCCATTTAGGGTTTCTTCTATTTCCTGCTGCAGCCTGATCTAGCATGTTTTTCTCCTTATCAAGTAGCCTCATCTCTTATCTTATCAAAATATTCCACCTTTGGTGATGTGGTGCTTCTGTAGATGTATGCAGTGACAGCTTACTGACTAAATGACATACCGCTGAAACTGGATTTCTTTCTGTGAGACATAGCAGGCTGTTCGTGCTCGATACAGGGGTGTCACTGCTCTATAGTGAAACATTAGTGAAGTCTTCTCAGTTTCTCTTACTAACAACCTAATTACATTCACGTGCCAACCCAGGTGTAAACTATGTCATGATGAGGAAAGGATTGAGAGGGAAGAGAGGAAATCATTTGCCTCTAAATGCAGCAGGTCTCATAAGAGCATCAAATCCTGGAAGAGTTTTAAACATGCAAATGTAAAAGAAAATGCCTGAAAAGTTCAACAGGAAGGCTAAAAATGAAAGTAATCACCTCATATTGTGACCGATGCCGAATCAACACAAAACCCTAACATCCCATCGAGGCCCATTAATCTGCACGGTGACCTTTGTTGGGAGGCGGAGTCATCATAAATTTGTAAAGAGGCCGGAATCAAAAGAAATATTAAAGGAAAAATGTGCCCAGAGGTGACGTGTGACTCATATCTGACACACAGGAGCAGCTTTTTTTTTTTTTTTTTTTGCAGGTGCGGAGGTTAACTACCAAATTAAAAACCAGGTGCTGAATGCAGATTAGACCGGACGAGTTTTAATTCGACACCCACGCGTGCTTTTTCATAGCTTTCCTATTTTTGTGTCAGATTTTTGTCAGCTGTACAAAAAAGAAAAGACCTGTCGTTAAACCGCCTCGGGGCAAAGAAAAGAGTGCACAACGTGAATCTGTGATTAGCTGTGCGACAGTGAAAAACAGTCTTCAGATGCTGATTCTCTCAGCCAGCCTCCATTCGTCAGAAACAAGAGGAGAGAAAAGAAAGGGGGGGTTGGCTGTGCTATCGCTGATTGGGTTTGATTTCGGAGGAACACAATTACCAGCAGATCGAAGCTTCCCGGTGCAGGTCTCTGTACCACCTGCGGGCGCAGCCAAAATGATGGCTCCACACATAACTCAGGCTCCAGGCGGACGTCTCAGTGAGAGCTTCCTTCTTGAAAACACGAGGGCCCGAATCAGCAATTGGTTCTGCATCACATGCCAGTAATAGGATGTCTAAACTCAAATTCAGCAGACCTGCTTGCTACAAAAGCTGAGTGAAAGGGTCTTTTATTAAGGCTCAAGCAAGAAACATTTTTTCGTTTTCCCCTGCTGTTATGTATTTTTCCCTTTTTACGTTAATATTCTGAGTCGTACAGATGTTACACGTCTATGCTTTAGATCTGTAATCCTTCAGATTTCTCATGAAGTCAAACTAATTGTATGCACACTGCTATACTTAGTAGCTTTTAATGACCAAAATTGTAATAGCCACACTCTGTAAATAAAAGAGGGAGCTAGTAACAGTTGCCATCTTGGAGTTCCCAGGGAGGGGGGGGGGGGGGGGGCGGGGGGGGGGGGGGGGGGGTCGCCTTTCCTGGAATGAGAACACATCAGTAGCCACAGGTCAGGCAAAATAATGACTTTACCTTCTAAGGAGGCTGATGAGAGCCAAACCGCTCCAACAGCTGCTCATCACCTTCTGCACATGCACAACAGAGAGCATTCTCATAGCCTGCATGACAGCCTTGTATGGTAGCTGCACCAAAGGTGACACAAGCATGTTGTGAAAGCAGCACAAACAAAAACAAAATCATAAAGAGGGCCAAGCAAAACCATGAAGACAACACACCCCTCGGACGATGGTCTGTATTTGTATAGCACTTTTCTAGTCCCTAAGGACCCCAAAGCACTTTACACAACCAGTCAGCCACCTATTCACACACTGGTGATGGCAAGCTACATTGTAGCCACAGCCACCCTGGGGCGCACTGACAGAGGCAAGGCTGCCGGACACTGGCGCCACAGGGCCCTCTGACCACCACCAGTAGGCAACAGGTGAAGTGTCTTGCCCAAGGACACAACAACCAAGACTGTCCAAGCCGGGACTCGAACCGGCAACCTTCCGATTACAAGGCGAACTCCCAACTCTTGAGCCACGACCGCCCCGATCTGTGTTCAGGCTCCTATGACTATGGCAGGCGCTTTAAAACTATCCAAACACATACCGAAACACAGCTTCCTCCCCGTCTTAACACGACCCCACAGTCGTGCATGAACCTCATGTGCAGTTTCACCTCCTTATGGGGATTTTATATTATGCAAAAAAACTCATGTAAAGTGCTCAGCATCATACCATTACAACCCTCATGTATCTGTTAATTAGTCAGTAAGCTATGTTTAAATATGGTATTTTTTGTCAGTAATTTTGTTATGCTGGGATATTGACAATGAAGAATTTTTCTGTCTAGTGACAGTGATGCTGAGATGAGCTGTTTAGGGCGTGTAGGGTTGCCAACTCCCTGAAAAATAAATAAGGAACACCTCGTGGCCAGGGCTGGGCGACCCAGTTGTCTTCACCCTTCCCAGTGTGGTGAATTTTCTAGCTCTTTTTTTGTGTGTGAAATTATTTTTTTAACCATTTGACTTGAAGTTGATTTAAGTAGATGCATATTCTATTCTTTGTGATATGAACACATGTGAAACAAATGATCATTTAGCCATTTATTTTTAGCTCAAAATGACAACACTAACACAATAAAACAGGTCTCCTTCTTAAACAGAAGCCTGTCATGCTTAACTTTTGAGAATATAAATCTTTCTTTAAAAGAACTCTGTCCTGCTTAACTTAAAATAATAGAAAACAATAGAAAGAAAAATATTCTTGTAACAGTGCACATTTAGTGCATTTAGTACAATTGGCTTCAGCTGAGGTATTATGCTAATCAGCTGCTCCTGTTTGAAACCCCGCTTGTTGCCATGATTACGCATCATAACTCATCATCATTATTCATCTATGTATTACTTTTATGTATTAGTGATCTATTTGTTGTAATCATCTATCTTTGCAGTTGTTTATTACACAAAATAAGTTATATTATCACACTTCTGGCCACATAGCGCTGATATTCACTGCACATGCCCATATTAACTTTTTCCAGCCAGGTGTTTCCCTTTTCCCATTCCTCCCTTTCTCTGAGGGGAACAAACATTGCTGCTCTAATGCTGGGCTCACACTGTGCGATTTTTGGCCCATTTTGAGCCGATTTTTGAGTCGTGCGACCGATTTGGTGATCAGACCGATTTTGGCCTCCATCGTGCGTCGTGTAGTATACGTGGGGTAACGAGAAGTGATTAACACCTCACGACCAGCTCCCGATCATCAATCGCTCGTGAGGGTCTCACCACAGGCGCTCACACTGCTCACGCGCAAACACGTAAACGTCGGTGAAAAAGACGG